GCTCATCGGCACACCTCCGCCTCCGGTCGGCGACGTGATCCCGACATTCTGCAGCTCGCTCCAACGGCCGTACAAGCCGCGATTCTTGTTCAACGCCTTGCACACCTCGCTGAAACATAACAAGTCGCACGTGCGAGCCAATTAAGTCGCAATAATTATCTAGACAGATTTGCACAGGCATTCGCCTGTGATTAATCAATGACACATTGTTTCCAGTATCGGAAGACACGCGCAAAAATTTCACATTTACATTCGATCCAAGTTAGATTTAAAAATTTATATTTAGAATTATAATTCAGATTTTCTAATTCAAAGTCATATCCTAGATAACATCAAATATATATTCTTTGATTATCCTATTTAATGTCAAATATACTATTTTGAGGATATTCTTACAGAATTATCTATAAATCTTTGTAGAATATTCTCGTGTTAAAAGAATTTTTATAAATTTTCTTTTAGAATGATTCCATGTTGAAATTTTTTGAAGATTCATAGATCGTTTTTTTTTTCATTTTATTAGAATATTTAAATATTCACTGAAGATTTATAGAATGTTTATAGAATAGATTCGCGTTATCTGGGATATTCAAATTTAAAATTAACTTCAGATTAGTACAGTTTTTATGTTAGAGATGTGATTGATGATTCGTCTCTACAAATATATTTTTGCAAATAGTTACAATAATTTCTAAGTAATTTTTTTCTTTGACATACATCACAATTTTCTATAGCAAAATTATTAGGTAATTTTACATTTCGCAGTTCCTCTTTCTCTTTTTCTTTCGTTTAAAGAACATTTCTTTTCATGCGCATACAATACTCCGCGTCTTTGAATTTAAATGTCGTGTCATGCATCAATATAATTATATGTATAATAATGTAATTATTAAATGATGATATCTGTTATACCTATATAACAATAATCGTACTTTATAACAATATTATTATACTAATTATAATATATATTATATATAATTATAATAATTATTATACTAATTACTTATTATACTAATATAACAATAATCGTACTATTTTAAATAAACTGGTGAGTATTTCGCATTAAATCTCTACAAAAAGAGGTTATGTTTTCTCTTATAGATATCGCGCATGTTTGAAAACTGTTTAGAAAACAATCTTTTACGTTTTTCATATATATTTTATATTAAAATATATCAGAAGAAAGTATAAAAAAAATGTTTGATATTAACAATATAAATTTATTTTATGTCAAAATCTCGTATGGTTTAATTTTAAAGAACGTCAAAATATAATTTTTAAGAGCCGTGCGATTTTGAAAGAATAATATTCTTAATAAAATAAGAAATTCACCTAAAATTCACCCCTTTAAAATAATTCCTGTTTTAGATATATTTTCGTGTCTTGAAAATAACGGAAATATTTAAAGAGATGTTTAGAGAAATATATAAAAAGAAAAATGATATGTTTCATACAAAACGAATCATATATAAAATTATTTAATTAGTTATTTCGCGAGTTTACGAGATATATATATATATATGTTGATTTACATCATTTAATCTTCATAAGAATTTATAGTTTACAAATAATAATTTTTTATTTAAAAAACGCTAAACTATAAATCATTCATTTCACTAAAGTGTCAAATCTGTCAAAGACGCAATATCGTGCAATATTCATTATACACAAAACCTATGCATATTATCATTCTGTCATACACGGTGACAGTATTGCTATCATTGAAGCAATATGTCAGCTCGAGATAACCCGCGCTACGAGATACGCTGTTCTTAAAAAAAAAAAAAAAAAAAAAAAAAAAAAAAAAAAAAAAATGGAAATTTTCAAAACTTAAATTTAAAAAATTGCGAAATCCAAAGAAAGAGAAGGAAAGAGAAAAAGAGAATTTACAATTTGAAATTTCATGCTAATGCGAATCTTAAATTCAGTATTGCGATAACGCTTCGACAATCGGTCGTCGCATCAATTTAATCCGCGATATCGCACCTCCGAGCTCTTATCGGTCGCGTCGTTATCAGAGCATGTTTGCGAACCTTCTCTCATACACGCTCTCTCTCTCTCTTCCTCTTATTCTATATAGAATCCTCCTCCTCCCTTCCTACGAAAAATCCCCATGACAATGTGATATGCATGGGATCTACGTTCGAATCGTTGCTCTTTTTTTCTTTCTTTTTTTCAGGCTCGCGACGCATACATATATATATACATATATACGTTGATCGCGCGAAAAAATCGATGCGGTCGTTCCTATATCGTCAACGAAACACTTACTCTTTGACGACAAAGAACGGGTTCTCCAGCGTCATTCCTTCGTCTTTGAATTTAAAGCCTGGGCCGCGGCCTGTATCGCCGCGACGGTCGCGCGGCACCCTCGGTGGAAGCGCGATCGCGCCCCGACCGCGCGCTCATCGGTAGGATAAAATTCCGTAGCCTACCGAGGTACGGCGCGCCCGTGAAGAGCGATAAGGAGAAGCCCGCGCAACCTGATGGTACCTTATCGTTACGATGACGGCGAAGGGTAAAAGTAAGCCAAGGATCGCGAGCCCCGCGACGTCGACGTCGCAAGTATCCGGCACTCGCGGCTATCGTCGTGACGTCTGACGTCTGCTCCGGATCCGGCGTCGCTCGCCACTATTTATTCGATTTTCAGGGTCGCGCGCGCCCCGGCGCGGCGCGTCGCGACGCCACGCGGTGGCGGTGGCGGCTAGAGCGATTTATTGATTCGCCGCGCGAATATGAAGTAGGGTTCATATGATCCGGCTTTACGGCGGATTTAGGGTATCGATTCTGTAATCAGAGAGAGGCCTGAGAGGAGTCGCGCCGCCGTTTTTCATAAAATATTTTTTCTAGCTGGTACAGTAGCGTCAACTAGATCCATTTTAGAACAGGCGAAACTACATGGGCAGATTCACTTTTTGATGCCATGGTAAAACGACCGATTTTGGTGCATGTCCGTGCTAAATATATATTGTGGATCAAAATTACGGAGAAATATTATGGATTTATTAATGTTTTATTAGCTATGCGTGATGTTTTGCCATTCTAGTACATATTAGGGATAGCGATAATAAATTATTATTGAAGTATTTTTATGTATATCTGCATGTGACATAAAATAAATTTTCTTAAATAAATTTTCTTAAAATGATACCAGACACGACATAAACTGGATAATTTTTAATTAAATATGTAATCAAAATTTTTATAATTAGTTTAATTTTTTTATTTATTTATTTGTGCTTAGTCCTTGTCTTTCGGCTTAGGACGAACTTCCGGTTACAAAATTTTTCCATCCACTCTGCGCTTATATATAAATTTAAATTTGCCTTTAATACAATACACTGAAACTCAATTAAAACTAAAGTTAAAATTTAAATTCAAATTGAGACTGAGCCTGAACTTAAATACAATTCAAAATAAAATAAAATATAGACTACACTAAGACTGTAACTGAAAGAACTGGAGCTATATAAACTAACACATGCTAAAACAAAAATAGAATAGAATAAAATTGACAATAAAATCAAAATCAAAATAATAAATATAAAAATAAAAATAAAACGCATCTCTATCCTTCCTCTGCCGCCTTCTTCCTTTCTTCTTCTATTCTCCTTAGTACTATCAGCCCTTGTCCATCCTCCCCTAACACTTTTTCTATCTCCTCTTTCTGTCCTGTCTTTTCACATTCCTTAAGTACATGCCACATGCTTTCTATCTCTTTCTTACATAGCCTGCATACTTTTTCCTCTTCTGCTTTCCAATATTCTTTTTCTCTTACTTCATTGCCGCACCTGAACCTTGCTATCGTTTTTCTATCTTTCTTCTTCATTCTCTTACTTAAATATTCTGCTCTCTCTTCTTTTATTAGCTTCTTGTATTCTCTGTTGTATGTAGATTCTTCTATCTTTTTTCTTCTTTCCGCTTTTTCTTTCTCTCTTATCTTCCCTATTATTCTTTGTACTATGTTTTTCTCCTCTTCTCTGCTTCCTTCCCTTATCTCATTACCATCTCCTTCCTCCTCTAATATTTTCCTCCTTATCCTCGCCCATTTTCCTTCTCTTCCTGCCCCCCACTCTTTCTTCCTCTCTTTCCAGCATTCTTCCACCAGTTTTTTCCC